TAATTGAAAACAAATGGAATTTTCTTATTGGTCGAATTTGGTTTACACGGTTTTTTAGAATTGGACCGTTCGCATTTGAACCTGCCCCTATATATATATATATATATAGGGGAGCGTTCAAATAAAAACCACCCAATTTGTAGAAATCGTGCAAATCTCATTCAATCAATCATAATTTTTCATTTTGTTCATTTTTTTGTAATTATGAGAGGTTGATTAACCATTTTTATTGTAGATGATGTTAATCATAGATATTATCATCTTCATTATTTTAATTTTAGAGAAATGCATGAAACAGTTTCATTAAAGTTTCATTATATATTATATGAAACAATTTCATAACCATATATGAAACAAATTCATCAAAAAAGTATTATATGAAACAATTTCATAAGATTAAACAATTTCGTGAAAATTTTTCATAAGATTAAACAATGAAATCGACGTATGAAGGTGGTTTGTATGGTTTGTACAAATGAGGGTGGTTTTCATTTGATCGCTCATATATATATATATATATAGAGGGAAGGGTTTAAACGAGAACACCTTTATTTTATGAGAATGCGAGAACACTCTTTTACTATAAACAATCACATTTGATACTATTATTCCTTTACATATGATATACATGTGATACTAAATCAGATATGTGAGCAATTTTCAATGCGATCTTGCTTGCGGACCAAGTCGCCGTTACACTACTAAACCCTCCACATGTGATAAGGGTGTTGTTGATATGATACTATAATCCAGACCATCACATGTGATACTAAATCATAGACGCAGACAATATTCGGAGTAAGCTAAGTCGTAGAATACGTCGTCCGCACATCATAGGGTCCTCTCACGTGTGTTATCGTAAAATGAAGATGTTCTCGTTTGAACCTTCACCTCTATATATATATATATATAATATTATTATTATTATTATTAGATTAAATATAATTTTAATAAATAAAATAAGATAAACTTAAAAAGACAATATTACCCTTGATTTAATAAAACATGAGTTGGTGAAGTTAGGATTTTGATTAGGAAAGATATCCAATTCAAAACAAAAGTGAGACCATGACGACCATATATATCTAATTATTACCTTTGTAGACTTAATCTAAAATGTTCAATAACACGTGGACATACTTTATAATGTACTCCGAATTTTATATAATTTATATGTTTCATACTATGAAATTAGTTTCTGGAATTTTGTATGTTAGTGTAGAAACGAATCAGTAAAAGTAATCCTACGTCGCCGCTTTGCAAACATGCAAGTTTGAAGAAAGAAACGGTAAACGGTAAACTCCAACCTCCAAACTATTCAATTATTTAGTGCTCATGAATCATCCATCTACTTGTCCATTTGATTGTTGATGAAGTCAACGATACGAGCCTGCTGTCATGAAGAAACTTTCTTCTTCTCGACTATAGATATTTCCCATTGATTGGGTGTTTCTATTTTCACAATTTCTCTTCCACTTTCATGTTTTGCAACCATTCAATCCACAAATGGGTTCAAAAATAGGGCAATTACTTGTGATCGTATTCATCCAAATTTGGTTTGCAGCAGCACAGAACGATGATTGTAAGTTGTTACTTTCATGGATTTCGTTTCCAGTTTAGTATTATGAGCATAATTCTATCGGAGGAGTAGAGTTTGGTTTTCTGTAGGGTTTTTTCTTTCTCTACTTTTTATCATGGATTCTAGTCCCAAAATGGAAGAGAAAAGATAGAGTTGAATACGCAAATTCATTAGTTTTTTTTTTTTTTTTTGTAAAATTACGAAGAAATATCAAAGATCTGGGTTTGATTTGCAGCTGTATATTTGCGGGCTCTCAAAGACGTTTGGGAGAACACACCACCCAGTTGGGACGATAGTTCCGACCCCTGCAGTGGATGGGATGGAATCAGATGCACCAACGGCCGTGTCACCTCCATGTGAGTTCTTCTATAACAGAAAGGATGGTAAAAGGTTTTAAAAAGAAAAACAAATTATCCACTTTCTTTTCCTTTTGATATTTATTGTTTTGTTTCAACTTTCAGACAATTGGCAAGCATGGGTTTGACTGGTCCACTTCCGGGAGACATCGGGCAGTTATCTGAGTTGCAGATTCTGTAAGTCTTTAAAATTGGTTCTGATTACTTTTAGTTTGAAGCTGTTTGTATGCAGTATGCAACTTTATGCTTTTTGTTCTTTGTGTATGTAGAGATCTGTCTTACAATAAAGGTTTGGTTGGGTCTCTAACTACAGCAATTGGGAATTTGAAGAAGTTGACAAATTTGTGAGTAGTTTTTACAGATTACATGCTTAATAGTAGGAATAATAATCTCTTTGCCCCTACGTGCTCGCAAATCATGAAGATTGAGAATATATAATGCTGATTTGTTAAGCACATGATTGGCAGGACAGGGAGTTTGGAGACACAGATTTTTTATTCCAACAGTAAAGTAAAAAAAAGACAGTAAAAATCTCTTGGCATGATATTTGTTTGATCTTGTTTACCAGAATCCTGGTTGATTGCGGTTTCAGTGGTCTACTTCCCACCACCCTTGGAGATCTAGAAAATCTTGTCTATATGTGAGTACTAGATATTCTTCTTCCAGATCCCATTTTAGAAAGTTAAGAAAAGCTCATTATTCAACTATCTAAACTGTGTAGGTCTCTGAATTCGAATGGTTTCACTGGACCCATTCCACCTTCCATTGGTAATATCAGAAATCTTTACTGGTTGGATCTAGCAGACAACATGCTCACTGGAAGTATACCAGTTTCTAGTGGACGAACTACTGCTGGTCTTGATATGCTGACTAATGCATTGCACTTGTATGTCTATTATTTATGTTTTTGTTTCTATATCGATTATGCTTGACAAACTAGTCATGTTGAGTATAAACTAGCTGATAAGACAGATGAGACTATAAAATAGTCTAAAAGGACATGCTGGAAAAGTTATTAAGGGGTATAATTGGAAAAAATCCCTTGGAGCTTTTCAAAAAGCTAGTTTATGGCTAACTAAACGGCACTTTTTCAATAAGCTCAAAAAAGGAAGTAGCTTATGGTTGCCAGACATGACCTAAATAGATAAAACTCAATTACAATTATACTTGCTTCTGTTTGTATTTTCAGCCACTTGGGAGGGAACAGGCTCGAGGGTGATATCCCAGCTCGGCTCTTTAGCTCAAATATGTCTCTAATTCATCTGTATGTTTCAATATAACAGCAATCTTAAATTCCTGAAATGGGAGATAATTTGAACTTACTTTCTGCCTTGTGATATTTGAGCAGGCTATTTGAAAACAACCAGCTTACAGGCCCCATTCCTCCCACACTTGGGCTTGTGAAATCGCTAGAAGTCGTGTAAGTACCACATTTCAAGACTTTCTGTACATCTCAAAGGGTAACTTTGTATTTTGACGGCGTTTTTCATGTGACATCAGACGTCTTGATGGGAACTTATTAACTGGGAATGTCCCGCCAAACATCAACAACCTTACCGGTGTTTTTGAGATGTAAGTACAAGAACCCCATGGTTTATTTTATTTAGTCCATTTTATGGGTCTCTTCTTCGGCATGTGAGAATATATGTGGGGATGGGCTTCACAAAAGATGAAAAATTCACTATAATGAAGTGGGTCTTTTATGGGCATCCTCCTAATAGAATACTTAACGAGACTTTTAAGAATTAGGACCAACAACTATGTACCCTATATAATGGTGCTACAACTTCGTTGTAACAACTTATTATAAAACCATTGTTTAGTACTTAAAGTTGTCGGTCCTACAACCTTAAGTCCTATTAGTACTTTATTAGATCCCTCTGTGCGTCCTAAATTAAACCCATGTTGTTGTAATGAATTCACAAAATGAATCAGTGTCTTAACAATCATATTATTATTCTGATGTCTGACAAATATTTGCTTATAGGTTCCTGTCAAACAATCAACTGACTGGCCCTGTGCCTAATTTAACCGGTTTGAATGTACTCAACTATCTGTAAGTAGTAGTAATACTTGAACCAAATCATTCAGTTAGAAACCGCTAATCTTGATTAATGAAGGTAATCGTTAATTCCTGATTTCCCAAATACCATTCCAGGGATTTGAGCAACAATACTTTTGAACGAACAGACATTCCTTCTTGGTTTTCAACGTTGCAATCTTTGACAACACTGTAAATCCCTCTAACCATCTCCATTTCTCTGTGTGAAACCGTACATTTATAATGGCTGATTATTTACATTTTTTGGCAGTAATATGTACAGTACAAACCTTGTGGGAGAGCTGCCTGCTGCCCTTTTCAGCATCCCTCAATTACAGCAAGTGTGAGTTGAGATTTGGTTGGCAGTTTTTGTGGTTATTTTAGTTGCTGAAAACTGATGATTTGCAACCTCATTTTGGTCAGTGATTTAAGTAACAACAGAGTAAATGGCACCTTGAATCTTGGCTCTACCTATAGCAGCCAACTACAGTCGGTCAATTTGCAGGATAATCAGATCGATGCCTTCCCTCAAAGAAGTCAATACAATATCCAGTTAGCGTAAGTTTTGAAACGGCTTTCTTTTGTTGGAGTCCCACATCGGCTAGACTTAGACCACTTCTCTCTTCTTAAGGGTTCTGTTGGAGAGTAATCTAACACATATTCTTAAACTTTTAATCATCCTAAACACATCTGTTGATGATTTTGCTGCAGACTTGTAGGTAATCCAATCTGCTTTGAATCGGGCGTGACAGAGAGATTTTGCTCGCCTCTCACAACTACTGATTCTTCATATTTCACACCACCCAACAACTGTGCGCCTGCAACTTGTAGTTCAGGTCTAGTTTCAAGTCCAAATTGTGCATGTGCCTCTCCATACACTGGCAACATTATCTTCCGAGCTCCTTCCTTTTCTGACCTTGAAAATGGGACCATTTATGAGGTCCTCCGCAATTCCATGATTACTTCTTTTCGGACGTCGCAACTCCCTGTAGACTCGGTTTCTCTCAAGAATCCTACCAAAAATTTGGACGATTACCTTGTGATTAGGGTAGAGATTTTCCCATCTGGAGAAGAAAGGTTCAATAGGAGCGGGATTATTGGGCTTGCGTTCTCACTAAGTAACCAAACTTTCAAGCCTGGCCGAGAATATGGGACCTACTTTTTCACCGGTGAAAACTACGACTTCGTAGGTAATCGGTTTTTCCCATTTGATAGCACTTAGTGAAAGGAATTGAACTTGTGTACAATTAGTTAGTAGGCGTGAGAACCAAATATTCATGATGAATATCATCAATGAAATATTCATGACATTCATCATGTATATTTACGTACATTCATTATGAATATTTGGTTCCTAATGCATTCTGGTTTCATCTTATAGGAGCATCAGGGACAGGAAACAAGTCATCCAACACTGGAGTTATTGTAGGAGCGGCTGTTGGTGGTTGTGTGCTTGTGGTGCTATTGGTACTTGCAGGAATGTATGCTTTTCGTCAAAAAGGGAGAGCTGAAAGAGCAAACCAAGAGAGCAGCCCTTTTGGTATGATTCTTTAATGGAAGTTTTTGGATTACTTTTGAATATATAACTTGGTTTCTAATCATTTTTGCGTAAAACTTGTAGCATTATGGGATGCAACCAATGGAAGTGGTGCTGTCCCTCAGCTCAAAGGAGCAAAATCTTTCTCTTTTGAGGAACTTAGCAAATACACAAACAACTTTTCAGAAATGAACAACATAGGAGCTGGTGGATATGGAATGGTAAGCGTGTGTTATACTGTATTTGTGAAACTTTTTTACATGTATGTTTTCTTTCACAAACACGTAAAAATGTTCCATATTATGGAACAAACACATTGTAAAAAGAATATTTGTTAATCAATACCTTAAATCCTAGTCTTAGATGGAAAAAATCCTCTGAAATAACACATGATGCACCGGTTCTCACACTTTGTAACCTTCTTGTGGTTATCACATGATTGGCTCCCCTATACATATATATACACACATACAAATATCATAGAATGTGATTATTCTGTGTAGGTGTACAGAGGAAGTCTACCAAATGGGCAGATGATTGCCATCAAAAGGGCTACACAGGGATCAACACAGGGTGGGCTTGAGTTCAAAACCGAGATTGAGCTTCTTTCAAGAGTTCATCACAAGAATCTTGTGAGTCTTGTAGGTTTTTGTTTTGATCAAGGAGAACAGATGTTGGTCTATGAGTACATTGTGAATGGTACAGTCAAAGATAGTCTTTCAGGTACCCTTTTTTTCTATTTAATTTCAAGTATCGAACATTAGCTATACGTCTGAAATTCAAAAATGATGATGATGATGATGATGATGATGATGATGATGATGATGAATGGGGATGATATTGATACGTGCAGGGAGATCTGGAATCAGGTTGGATTGGATGAGAAGACTTCGAATAGCATTGGGAGCAGCAAAAGGGTTGCAATACTTGCATGATCTTGCTGATCCTCCAATCATACATAGAGATGTTAAAACTAACAATATCTTGCTAGATGAACGCTTAGTCGCAAAGGTGGCTGATTTCGGTCTATCTAAATCACTGGGCGACGCTAATAGGACTCATGTTACCACTCAAGTCAAAGGAACAATGGTCAGTAATTTCTGCACTACCAACTTTTCTTTATATCACCAGATAGAGAGATAAAGTAAGACATTGTGTACTTGCATATAAGCATATTGTTTTGTGATGTTGTTTGTTCGTAACTAGTCTTACTTGTTTTCAAATTTTCGGAATATGTTACTTTCTGGCCTCAAGTTCTTTTTGTATTTGTTTTCACTATTCTTCATACTTTTTTTGGATAAACTCTCTTTCCTCTCTCACACTTGTCACAAGCTAGGTCTTCATGGAAACAGTCGCTCTACTCCTTGGGGTAGAGGTCAGCTCTGGTACATCATATCCCACCCCCGGGTGGGATATAATGGGATAATTTGGTTTGGTTTGGTTTTATAGAGAGATAAAGATGCAACAGAATAACCAAAGGGACTTATGCTAGAGGTATCTATTAGAGCTCAACCTTCTAGGAGGTCGGGGGTTCAAACCTCATCAAAGGTGAGGAGAGTGTGTGACTTCATTTATCGTATATAAAAAAGAGATACTGCGGAGTAGTTGGGTTCCACGAGGTCTCGTTTCCATGCATTTCCTATCTCCATTCAACTTCTATGGCTAAACCTTTAGTTTTACAAAAAAATTGGACTTAAAAAAGTATGGCATATGGTTTGATGCAGGGCTACATGGATCCGGAGTATTACATGACACAACAGTTGACAGAAAAGAGCGATGTTTATAGCTTTGGAATTGTACTGTTGGAGCTGATAACCGCAAGAAATCCAATCGAAAAAGGAAAATACATTGTGAGAGAAGTGAAACAAGCCATGGACAAAAGTAAAGAACTATACAACCTCCAAGAAGTCCTTGACCCAACCATTGGTTTGAGCAGCCAACTCAAAGGTTTGGAAAGATTTGTGGATGTGGCATTGAGATGTGTTCAAGAAACAGGAGATCAAAGACCAACAATGAGCGATGTTGTGAAAGAGATTGAGAACATTATGGAACTCGCGGGTCTTAATCCCAATGCGGAATCAGCATCAAATTCAGCAAGTTACACAGATGGAAGTAAGGCGGGATATGAACATCCTTATACCAATGATAGCCTTTTTGCTTATAGTGGTGACCATTTTCCTACAAAGTTGGATCCCAAATAGAAAACATATCTATAACAAATTCATTGATGGCTATTTCATGTTTTTATGGAGTTGTTGATTGTAAAAAGAATACTTGTTTTTTTTATCTTTGCTTTTGTGAAGATGAGACTTGCAAAATACGGATTTTGGAAGGAAAGGTGTTGAGGTTTTATGTATTTATGTTCAGAAGTTGTATGTGAAATTCGAGTTATTGATTTTTCTTAGAGATCTCATGCGCTTTTCCTCCTCCATTCTTCTCTTTTTAACTTGAAGCTTTGCCATTTATCATGTTGTAAAATAAAGGTTTATGGAAAGAAGGGAAAGGAAAAGGAAGAATTTTTTTTATTCCAGTTCTTGAGAGAGGGAACGGAAATGAAGTAAATAAAATAAATTTTCATGTTCTTGAACAGTCAAATATACCCTTTTTTGGGTTTGTTCGGTTTGTGGGATTTAGCATTGAATACCATTTCAATCCCGTGTTTGGTTTAAAGCTCGAGATTTCGATTAAACCCCACAAACATAGGATTTAGAAATCTCATGAGAGGGCGTTTGGTTTAATTGAAGGATTTGGATTTTGTGGAAGAATTTAGATTTGGAATGTCTTGTGTGTTTGGTTTGTAGATTGAAATGAAATTGAATTTTCATTTTTATTAATAATCTATAAAAACAAATAATAAATAATTATAAAAATAATTAAATTATTTTTTTATTCTTTGGTTATTACAAAACAAATGTTTTTAACATATTTAAAATATTATTACATACAAATATTACGAAATCCTGTGAAATACCAATCACCATCATGAGATTTCAAAATTCTATGTTTGTTAGATTGAAATGAAATATTGAGATTTCAAATTTAGGAAATTTTCCAAAACCAAACATCGGATTCGACAAACATTCAATTCCAAATCCCGCCAAATTCAATCAATCCTACAAAACAAAAGGAACCTCAAGGTACTTGGTATTTCATGTGATTTCATAGAGTTTGTTTGTAATGATGTATTAAAATATACTAAAACCACTTTTGTAATAATCAATTAATAAAAAGTAATTTAATTATTTTTATAACTATTTATAATTATCTATATTACCTTATAAACCAAATTTTATAAAAGTCTTAAAAACAATTTTTAATGTATAGATTATTATACATTTATGCATAGTCTTAAAGCCAACTCATAATGCATAAGGTACAAGTTGTCAATACCAAACTCCAACTCAGAATTTATCTTCCCAAAAGGCTGCTCCCGTCATATCGTCCCCAAGACCCAAGACGACGATTCACAAATTGATCTTCCCTAAGATGTCGATTCAATCTTCAATGTGAGATTCATCGTTCAAAACCACTCCTGATTTGGTTCTTGCTTCCATCTCCACTCTGATTCGATTCTTGATAGCTTCTCTCATACGGTTAGGGTTTTGCTTAATCTTCTCCCTAATTTGAGGTTAGTACTTGTATTCTCTGATCTCTTCTTGTGTTCTTCATCTCGAGTTGTCACTTCTCGGTTTTGTTTACCTACCTGACTATCTCAAAATTTCTTAGTCTCAATGGTACATAACCTTGTTGAATGAATTTGGGTTTTTTTTTTCTTTATATGTTGATATATGTAGAGAATTCAATATATAAAGCACCCATTTTACTTATTATTATTTATCCCTATTTTGAGTCATTTTTATTACTTTCTTTATATCTTTGCTTATGGAGCTAAATCTTGTGGTTAACTTGTTGGTACTCAAAGGAGGACACTAATGGAATTTTTTCTTAACAGCTTGATGCTACAGCATTGGAGCAGCAGCGATCTGATACATAGGCGGATTTTTGAAGAACTTATTGATTAAGCTGTTGCCTTTTTGTGCTTTGTGGAAGACAGCTGGAGATTGCTGGCATTTGATTAAAAATCTGGGATTACAACATTTTAAGACTTTTTGTATAATCTTGTACTTTAGATACTTTTTGTTTAACTTTTGGATATTAACTTGTGGGTAAAAACTTTTATTGTTTTGTGCCTCTTTTGTGTATAAAAGGAGGTGCTTGGCTCATCTTTATGCATACCATTCCAAGCTTAAAATCAGCTTTTAAAGGCTGATTTGTGAAAACATTTTGGAAGAAATACAAGATTTTAGCTTTTAGCTTTTCATCTTTAATTTCTTGTCTTTTAATTTTTGTTCTTTACATTATGTTCCTTTACGTTTATTGTCATTTACATTCCGTTATTTAATTTCCGCAATTTACTTTCTTGTCATTTATTTTTCCGTCATTATTTTCGCAATTTTACATTTATGTCATTACTTTCCGTCATTTACTTTACTTGTTAGTTACATTCCGTTATGAGTAGCTAAGTTTATATAGTTTGGGTGTGAGATGAAAAAGTGAGATTTTCAAACCAAAATAAAGTAGCTAAGTGTTTTCATAAACGACTGTGACACCCTCAATTTTTTTATTATTATTATTTTTTTTGAGAATGTCACGTAACCTGAATCCATTTCCTGAATACATAGTCCAAAAGACGGCTAAAATATCACCGTTCGAATCGTTTACAGCGGAAGTCTTTGAATCCCCAAAGTTAACTTAAGTTCTAACCCGCTTTATACCAAGTTAAGTTACAATAGATTAGTACAATGCTGCTAGGCAAAAACTAAAGATAAGATAACAATCTAGTAACTCTCTACGCGAGTCCCTTGCCCTTATCCAACTTCGAACTTCCTGGCCCTGAGATGCATACTATAGTCATCTTATAAAGCTCAATGAGTTCATGGTTTGCGTGAGTAAAGATCATTTCACATCATACATATCAACTTGTAAACTTTGTGCCAAATAGTATGCATTTTCTGAAAAACATGCAATACCGAAGGAAACATATATCTGTAAGACACTGAACATACGAGATCTCGCATAACGTTTAGCCGGGTATGGGTCATTTAGTCACAAACACACCCTGGGTTAGATATTTCAATCTTAACTGGTCACCCACTTGTCCGGGTAGTGTTTTATACTAGTCGTGACTTACTGGTCAAATGCCCACCCTTAAATCATCAAACTTTTAGTATGGATTAGCATGCTAGAGTTATTTGAAAACTGATTAAACACATAGCACGTAACCATTCATAAAATAGCATGCATGTAAAATATATCATAACATGCATGTAAACTGAAACATCATGCATACGTACACATCATCAGAAATTCATATCATGTAAAAATAATTTGTACTTAGGTATGCATCCGAGTGAAATCTCATGAAGACTCACCTGATAACGTAGATTGCTTATCTAACGCTGTTGACTGGTAACCTACAATTTATAATAGCAAATAGCATATAAATGATTAATTTCTCCCAAAGGCTACATAAAAGTCAAC